CTCAGAACCTTTCCTCGGTTTCTGGGGGGCAAGTGCGCCTGTCTCCAGGGGAATTAAGGGGAATGACCTCGCCGCCCCCTCTGGTGCTCATGGAAGCCCCCTCCTCCTTGCCCACAGGCTCCTTGGCCTACCTTCGTGTCAGTTTGTATCTGGGCCTTCTCACCTGTCTTTCTCAGTTTTATAAAGACCACTTAGGACTTGATGATTCTTTGGCAGGACTCCCCAAAAGAGACTAGACTCAGGCCCACTGTCCTCTCACTCTCTGGAAACTGCAGGCCAGACAAGCATCTGAGGATGGGACAAAGACCTTTTAGTCTTAATCCTAATGAAATCTGTTAAGACAGGTGTTAGTAGGGGTCAGAGCCTCAGAGTCCCGGTTACTAGAGGACCACCGGGGTCGGAGGGGTTCATGGGACTCACAAGTGCTTATAGTTCCCTTCCAACTGTTTTAGTTAATGACAGGGACCCTGCCCTATCAACTGGCCCTGACCTTTCAATTTTGAAAATCGCTACTCTTCCTGAGAAATCTGATTTTAAAATGGACAAGTGGGACATGTTAATTTCATATCCCACTAGGAACCCGGAGAGGCCCTAGGTGAGTCTGGGGAGAGACCCTTTGCCACAGGTTAAAGGAACAAGACGCGTTAGAGGCCAGTTTCCACTCGCTCTTTGCCTGCCTCCCAGAAGTAGCTTTATGTAGAGGCATTTGAAGAGCCATACTGCGCTGGGCGTGAGGGTTAAGTTTTATTCGGTGAGGAAATGGACTTTCAAAAGAAGAGGCATAGCCCGTCTGAGGAACTTCGGGTCTGGTCAGTTAGGTCAGCCTCTCTAAAAAGAATTTCTTTTCTTTTTTTGCTTAATAACAACCTGTCTACATGGAAGTCAAAGGTGAGTTCTAAGATGCTGCACTGACAATCACTAAGCAGGAATCACCCCAACTAAAAGTACAGAATACTTTGAAAAAAAAAAAAATTCACTATGGAGAACACTGGGCAAGATTTATTTAAAACCCAGGCCGGGATTTTAAGTAGTCTGATACACTCTAGCACTCAAAACACAGGGGGAGCCATGCATAAAAGCAACTGAATTATATCGTCCTCCTCCTTTTAGTGGAAACCTGAGGAAGGAGGAAAGCCTTAGACCCTACTGAAGGAGACTACTGGGTTATCAAAACAAGACTCTAAGGAAAACCGGTATTAAAAAAAAAAAGTGAAAAAGCCCAACAAACAAAAGTCTGAAGTGCTGCCAGAAGGGCTAAAGCAAATGTGGAAATGAAATATCATCATAGCAATGACAGATATCTCAGAAATGGGGGTGCTCACATTTCATGTACACTCAATGGACTTTTATAACAAGGGATCTGTCAGAGTTTGGCTATAATTCAGAAAGCAGAAAACTGCAGACACCTGTCATTTGACAAGGGATTTTAAGTGCACGTAATACCTTTACAAGAATCATGCTTTCCACTTGAACAATGCTGGAGAGCTTATTGCCACATTTTTTTCGTAAGTACTGTCTTACCTCAGTTAGAAATTTTGGATTCCTCTACTTACCTTGCAGTCTTTGGGTGCAATTCCCTGACATTTGATCTCTGAGTTTTTGGTTTATTTGCCTACGAAGTGGGGCCCCTCACGTTTTTATTGCCCAAGGCTGTTTCAAAGGACAAGTGTGCCTTTTAGAAATATAATAAGAAAGTGGTATCATTATGCATAATAATTACTATGACTCGTTACTAATAATGCTGAAGGCAGGGCGTTCATCACTTTCACGTGTGGAGTGGAGAACCCCACTTTTCTTTACTTAATACAATTTCCCATAGTTCATACAATGTGGGCAAATTATAAAAATTAACCTACTTGTATAGAAAAGAATTGAGAGACATCTATGGGAAATCAGGTTTTAACAGTCAGGGAAGAATTTCAGCCATTGAGAAGTGTGAAGGACTTTAGGGAGCCAGAAGGGAAAATCACAAAAGTCTCTTGTCATTCTGAAACTTTTGTGGTCTGATAGCCATTCCATTCTCAGTGCACCAACCAGCTCAGTGGAGGCATTTTGAACACGAGAAATGGCTGTACTGAAAAAAAAAAAAAAAAGCCCTCTGCAAGATGGGATACAATGCATCACCATTACACCTGGTGGCATAAATAATCATGCAATCAGGTGAAATTCACTGTATAAATACAGTGTTGGCAGAATGGTCATGATTATATACAGCATTTGCTTGCATCATTTTAATAAATGCAGCAGATACTGAGAAATTCTATCTAGCAATCCCTTCAATTCTTAAAAAATGAGGAAATCACACCCAAATCAGGTTGCCAAAAACATGTTTAAATCACCAAAATTACTCAAAAGGACAACAGAAACAGGGAAATAGTCTATTATTGGATAGTATTAGGAAAAAGGCCTCAACTCTTTAGATACTCTCAAATTTAAGTCATGTTATTATCTACTTACCTACTCGTTTCCTTTTTAAGATTCCCTGTAAAATCGTTAAGCTGTTTGGGCAATAAAAACAGAGAGGGCCTATATACACACATACACACACACTCATTTTTAAAGCGACAGATGAATCTGCATGTCACAAATTCAGAACCCAATCAAAGGATGGTCATTTGATCTGCATTTTCAGAGGGAGGAATATATGGCTGTGTCTTGTTTTTTATGTTGGGACTAGAATGTAAGAAATCCTGTCCTAAATGTGAGTAAGTACTCATTCTTCCTCCTTTCCCCTCCCCAGTCAGTCACTCAGACCCAGAAGGGACTCCTCGCTTATCATTTTGGCAAAATGAAACTGACAAACCACATGGCCACATAGGTTAACACTTGTGCTACAAGATGTGGCCTAGGATTTAGCCTCCCAAACTGCACTGTCTCCAAATGTGCTTGCCACTAACACCCTGGGGGCAAAGCCAGGAAGAGGGCAGGGTGATCCCAGCAAATTTCCTTTTATTAAGGTTAATTCCCCCCCCTGGATACCAAACAAGGGTAAACAAGGGAAACTGCTAAGATTCTTAATACTTGGCTCCCAATGGGCTGCAGCATGGACGTTTGCATGACCTGTGGTGTGAGCCTCTAGTGCTGATATCAACTGACTGCACTCCCCACCCCACCCCCCACAGTAGAGGGCTCAAGACCTGGAGCAAAGGAGACTTCCTGGTGGGAAGGCTTCATTTCACAAACTAGGCAACTGAGGCTCCAGCATGTAAGGAACGTGGCCAGTTAGGGTTGTGTGCACACTGTCATCTGGTTCTCCTGTCTGCACCCTCTGTGTCCCCCCTCCCCCATCAGCAGTTTGCTTGCTAGAGTTATGCTGGGAATATTGAAATGGGCCTGTTATGCAAAGCCAGTTGTCTGCAAGGAAACAGTGTGCTGTCATTTGAGGCTCTGTGGTCTTGGTGCAGTTGGGACATTGAAAATTTAAAACTACCCCCCCCCCTTCTGTATATTTCTGGGAAAATGATGATGTCATTATTTCCCTGGGTGGGCACAATTAAAATGACCATCACATTTAAAACTGTGATTTGTGAAAAACACACATCACAATGGTATAGTTATGTCCATAATGTCATTAATTAAAACAGACACACATTATAAAAATTTAACAAAGGAGCACAATTGTGATGTTGAAATCCCTTGAAAGTTTTCAGAGAATAAAATAAATTAAGGTTGTGGCGCTTTACTTTTTAAATTTACATACAAGCCTAAATTTACATTTAAAGCTACACACTCAGACCATTGATAATTTGCTCCTTTGAGTTAAGCAGAGATTTGAGGAGGGGAAGGTGTGGAGTGGGAAGGGCCAGGAAAACAGGGAGAGGGTATTGCTGGGGGAAGAGGGGGATCCTGGAGAAGGAAGGGTCATGGAAAGGTGGAAAAGGTGAAGAGAAGGGGGGAGGGGAGGGCCGCCAAAGGTGCCCACTATAACCTTTCACATTTTGGGGTATCCCAGCCCACTTTAGAGGAGCTTACCTTTGGTCCTCTTTGCCCCCAGCTACAGCTGCTTGAAAAAATTCACATGCAAATATTTACATATTTTACAAGTCATATTCACAGTTTTACTACATTTCGTCCACATACTTAAAATACACTGGAAGCATTTTTGAAAAAATTTTATTTTAATTGCATCTCAAACGCAAGACGGCATTCCACTCCCAAGGCACGGCCCCTCTCTTGTAAAAACCAAGCCCCTCCTATTACACTCTTTGTAAAAGTGTAAATGATTGGCTTACCTCTGGCTCTTCCCTAGGAAAAAATTATTTCATATTTTTAACACACAGCCACGCCCACCCCCCTGGCACCAGCCCCGGGTGGTTTGGAATTGAGACTCGCCTCCAGCATGTTAAGTGTTTTCCTCCCGCCCTCCACCTCCCTACCCCGCCATCCACCACCAGGTGAGCTGATGTATGCAGAACACCGAGCTTAGGGGTGCAGCCCCTGACGCCCCAGATACCTGAGTGTCTGTTTTTTCAACCGTAAAGGCGGGTTTGGCGAACGAATGAGAAGTGAGGAAACGCTTAGCGCAAAGGGAAAAAAGAGAGAAAGACATACAGAAAAAAGGTTACGGGAGGCCAACGGGAGGCGCCCCTTCTCCCCCCGGCCAGTGGCCCAACATATCACCCAAGATGCCCCACCACCTTCTCCGCATTTTTCACGCCGCCCGCTGCAGAGCGCCAGCGCACAGGTACCACCAGAGTGTGCGAACACGAAAGTTTTTGCCCGCGCCATGGCGCAAAACACGAGACAGCCCGTTCCCCAGTACAAGTACACAGTCGGCGGGTAATTTGGGGGTGCCGGGGATGGGAACTGGGGGACACTTGAGCACATCATGCACAGGCGAACACAATATGGACACCAACACACACCAACGACAAGCTGTCTGAATCCAAGCAGCCGTGCCAGGCGAGGCGGGGGCGCACCTTCCCCAACGACCCCAGCCCACCATGGCCCCAACCAGCCGAGCCTGGGGAATCCCAGGCCCCTCCCCGGCAGTTCCTGGCTCACCTGAAGCCCCCGCCTTTCTTGCCGGACCCCACCCCAGGACTCGGGGGCATCTTACGGTCGCTGGCGCTGGTTTGTCCAGCTGGAAACGACCCTCAGTGTTGTACGGCACCACTTTTCTCCCTGGAGGGCACATACTTCGACCACCCAAGCCCTCCCAAGCCCCTCACCCGCTCCCAGGGCAAAGTTAGGGCCCCTCACTGGAACTTTCTAGCAGGCTCTTCCCGCCTTGGCCCAGTCCCCCTCCTCCCACCGCCAGGCCCCGAGCCCCACTGGGCAGCCCCGCCGCCCCCTCCCGGGGTCCCTCAGCGGCCCTGCTCCCCACGGGCACGGCCCGCCGCCTTACCTAGAAGCAGCAGGCGGTGTGTACACATGTAGCCCATCTTTTCGTCCTGCAGTTGCTTGTCGATGAGCTTGCTGCGTTTCTTCTCTGCGCGCTTCTGGGCGCGCTTCTCCAGGGCTTCCTTGCGCATCTGTCTGCGCTTCTCCGCCAGAGGAACCTTCTTGACCTTGGGGCCGCGCGGGGCTTTGGGCTGGGGGCTCTCGGCCCGGCCGAAGCAGCCTCCGAAGGCTTGCATGAGGAAGTTGCGGAGCAAGTTGCGCCGGGGCTTTCGGCGGCGGCGGTTTCTCCGGGATTGCAGCCAGCGGTGGCATCCGGAGGTCCCATCGTCGGATTCGTCGCTGCTGTGGTCGTCGTCGCTGCTGACCGACCCTTCGTCGTCGTCGTGGCCGCGCTCCGACCTGCCCCGCCAGGCAAACGCCCGAGGAGGCTGCGGAGTAGGCGGATCGGCAGCCTGGATCTCGGGGCTGGGGGGTCTAAGGAAACGCAGCTTGGGGCGGGCTCCGGAAGCAGGGGCCGCAGGGGCTGCCCCGGGGACTGGAGCGGCCGGGGCCGCCCCGGCGGCGGGAGAGGCTGGGGCGGCCCCGGCGGCGGGAGCGCCGTCCCCCGTAGAAGGGACCTTTTCTCCCTCCGCGGCAGCGGCGGCTGAGCTTCCTTCCATCTCGGTTGCTTCTCCCTCAGCTGGGGGTCTCTCTCCCTCTGCTCGCTCTCTCTTAACTGGGGCTCGGGAGACCTCGATGGGCGGGTCATCCAACGCGATTGGGGGGCTGTCCATGTTGACGGGAGCGTAGTCGACCCCAGTGGGGGCTCTGCCAATCTCGAGCTGGGGTCCGGGGATCTCCATCGGGGGGCTGTCGCCTGTGAGGTGTGAAGGAGCGCTGACGGCCTCTCGGGATGGGCTGCTGCTGGCGCCCGGGACCCAGAGGGGGGGCTCGTTCGCGCTGGGAGCGAGGAGGACCGCACTCGGGATCGCGACTGCCACGAACTGGCCGTCGTCGTAGTCGATTTGTGGGATAGCTCGGGGGAGCCCAGGGGGTTGGTTGTCACCCCCAAAGCTTCCTCCATCAAACTCAAATGGCAAAGCCTCCTCAGGGGGAGGGCTGCAGGCTCCTCTGAAGCCTGTGTTTGCAGGCCTGCGGGCTCGGGGCTCCTCTGGAGGGGCACTGAAGACCCCTGGACCTGGACCTCCTTGAGCAAGGTCTGAGACCTGCAAGACAAGTTGGCTGCAGCCTTCCTGGGCAGACTGCTCAAACTCAAAGGGCATGGCTTCTTCAGGAGGAGGGCTGTACCTTCCCAAGCCTGATCTGGCATCACCAAAGACTCCGGGCTCCATGAATGCTGGGCTGAAAGCCTCGAGGCCTTCATGGGCCCCAGGGGTACCTCCAGGCTGCTCCAGGGTAGGCCAGAAGCCTCCCAAGCTTGGCTGATCGACTTCGAAGGGCATGGCTTCCTCAGGAGGTGGGCTGTAGCTTCCATGGGTTCCAGCTTCCTCAGTGGCCTGGTTGAGGTCCTGGCGGTTGGGACTGGAGATCTCTGGGGGTCCACAGGCCTCGTCTTCAATCTCGATGGGGACGGGCTCGCTGTGAGGCGGTTCGGTCTCCATCTCTTCGGCTGTGCCAGGCCCAGCACTGGGGGCAGCTGCCCCTGGGGCCTCCAAAGGTGGTTGCTCGAGCTGTTCCCCAAGTTCAAGGGGGATATTGCATTGTCCTGACATATTATTGCCGTCGAGGCGGTTGCACACGCCCATAACACGGTGGCGGACTCTTAAAATAAACTTGGGGCCCCGTAATACGGAGCACCCAACCAAACTAGGGTGAAAAAATTTTTTTTGAAAAAAAAAAAATCAAAGTACCAGCTAGAAAGTTCTCCAACCTCAGTTTCCAACCCTCCTAAGATCTGGGGGGTCAAGGCCTCAAACCTTAGATGGTGCTGGAAGAAAGTCTATTGTTGCTGGTGGGGTCTTCGCTCATTCCTGGCCACTTTGTATCCCCTCGGGTTTTTATGCCCCCTGACCCCCACCTTGGCCTGCCCTCGTGCCCTCCCTCTGTCTCTGCGCCAGGCCAGCCCCTCCTGCCTACTTAGATCTGAGGAGCGTGCCGATTCGGTCCGAAAATCGCTCGTAGTGCTCTCTCTCTGCCACCAGGGGACGCCGACCCCAGTGCAGAGGCAGCTCCGGAGTCGGATCTGGGCGCCGGCAGCCCCGGACTTGGGGTAAGGGGGCTGATGAGTGTAGGCCACGCAGGCACGTTTTGGCTCATTCCACTCCTCTCCCTGGCTGATTTGGAGTCTTTCTCCGCTCTTCTCTCCTGGCCAGAGAGAGAGCTCTCCTGCGTTGCGGGACACGTGACGCAAGACGTGGGCCCCGGGCTGCTTGAGCGCAGGAGCTGACACCCTCCCTCTCAGACCCAACTGACTCTTCTGTGGGGGGAGGGGGGGTGGAAAACTGCAGGAGGGTTTCATCACCCCAGGTTACCCCTAAACCCCTGAGCCGCAGCCCCCAGCCCTGAGTAGCCTCTGATCCTGAGCCCCAAGTCCGGAGTACAAGACTTTGGACGCATGGGAAGGGGGCGTGGGCACGCTGTGGTGATGCGACAGGTGGTCGTGAGCCCACCAGTAGAGCAGATAGGAGGCTTAGAGTGAGGGGATGCTGAGTGTGTACGTACAATTTGTTTTTAAGATGCCTTGGGGTACTTCCCCCACCCCCGCCCCCGCTTCTGCAGCTTTCATTTGCCGGCTCGCCGAGGCTGGCTCCTGTAAAGCACTTCAATGTCCCCCATCCCCACCACACTCTGGGGGTCTCTGCAGTAGTCTAGGATGGCGCAGGCAGGGTTCTCCCTCGTTTATGTGGACGATGATGCGGGAATAAGAGGGTCTCGGACATGTACCATAGAGACCCTCTAAGCAGTAGGTGCCGCGGCACGGAACGGGGGACGCGGGGAGCACACGGGGACCCCACGGATTAGCCTCAGAGTTTTGGGGGTCCTATTATTCTTGGGAAAGGTTAAAAGGGATTCTAGTTTGGATTTATGGCTGGTTTGGGGTGGTCTTGGAGACTGGAAAACACCGTACGCATTAAACCCAAAGACACACACCCGTGCCGCGCCGGCCGTGCCGGCCGCGGCGGCCGCGCTGTGCGGCTCCCTGCTGCTGGTGTTGCTAGCTACAGGGTTGGTCCGTCAGCTCCTCTAGCCCCTGTCCAGCTCCCTTCTAACCCCCTCTTCTCTGGCTTTGGGTCTCCCAAGGCAGCCTCTTTACTTTCCCACTGCTAGAGATCCCCGAGGCGGCACTAAGTGCGGCCGCCTACCCAGCGGTCGCAGTGCTGCGCTCCCAACGCCAAAGTGCGTGGTGGGCTTTCAAAGCAGCCGGGGCTAACACCCGCACTGCCTGGGTGGGCTTGGTGAGTGCACACGCACTGCTCTAGCTACTGGGTCTACGTAAGGATTTGAGCCCCGCGGTGGGGGTGGGGGTGCGGGAAATGCTGCTTGCGGATCTTGTAAAACCCGGGACCTGGGCATCAGCGGGTAACACGGACCTGCGAGTCACCTTTAAGTGCAAAGCAGCTGGGATGGAGGCAGGTGGTCGCCTGGCCGGCGAGTGGGGTACAGATGGCACGGTGAGTGTTAGTTACACGGGGTGAGCTGGGGCGAGCGGACCGACGGCCTGGATCTCTGTATCACAAGCCACAGCAGGTGTACCATGCGCGGTCCAGTCTCGTTAAGTCTAATGCATCCCTCTTCGAACGAGGGGACCTCAGCCACAGAGCATCGACTATCCACAGCGCACTGACCATGCATCCACGATCTACATGGCCGCACGGCATGGAGGAAAGCTGACAAAGTCGGACCCTGGATAATGTTTGGGGCCCCCCAGAGGAGTAACACCTCTGCCCTAGGGTCTATATAGTTCCAAGTACCAATAATGAACTTTTATCCAAACTTTGACCAACTACCCCCACGCACCGCAGCTCTACCATTTGTGCATCCATGGAATGGGCCAACTGGGTCCCAACAGTCCCCTCCGACCCTAGTGCCGGGTCAGCTATTGGGCTGGGGTCACGCCAATCAAGGCTGCCTGGCGAATGAGCAGGGGGCGTCGGACCGGAAACCGGATATGAGTGGGAGGTCCAATAGGGGGCGCCGCGTTGGAACGCCCCAAGAGGCCGTGCTGCTGGGGTGGCTGGAAGCACCTGGTGGGCCGGTGTATGGCGGCCAGGCCTGGACGCCACGAGGGCAGCTGGCGCCGTGGGGTCACTCTTCCTGATGCCACAAGTTACGATGGCTGAAAGGGGAGCTCGGGATCTCTCAGGGGCCAAACGTTGGTCTCACTGAAGGCGGTGGGCAAACCCACCCAACAGAGGGACAGCTGCTGGGCGAGGCAAGAAGATTCCCAGGGCCTGGAAGTAGAGGGCCAGGACCCTGAGGAGGGAGAGGGCTGCCTGCCCCGATGCGAGGAGCAGCCCCAGAAGGATAAGAAGTTGAGGCCCCAGGGATGCTGAGCCCTGCCGAAGTGGAAGGTCAGTAGACGTTGGGGTAGGGAGGCCGCGATGGGGGCCCCAGAAGTATGGTTGGCTCTGGTCAGGCCTCGCCTTTGGCCCACTTCACTTGGGCTCCTTCCCAAAGCACTATTCATCAAGGAACAGGCACAGGGTCTCTTTGTTAGACATCCTCATGAGCTTGTGGGACCCCTTTGTTAAACACTTTTTCTGGTTATCTTGGGTCTTTGCCAGGACAGCACATGTGGCGAGGGGATAAAGATCCTGCAGATACCAATCCTCCATCCTTAAGCAGCATAGAAATGCAAGAAAAGACCTCCAACTGGAGGGACCTTGAAAATCTTGGAGAAAACGGCGTTTCAAATATAGGGGGATAGAGGCCTAGGCTGCAGATAGAAGGTAGGGGATGGGAGACGTTGGCCTACCATGAGCAAAGATCCAGTGGGAGGAAATGAGACATGCCTAGGGGTAAAGAGAACAGGCTACCTTGCTGGGTCTTGGAAGGGCAGTGGGAGAGATGGCAAGAAGAACTGGATAGGATCTCTCTGAGGGTATCATGGCGCAACAGGGCAGTTCTGAGGCGATTCTGGTAGGAAATGGAGCAGTTGTTGAACATTTTGTGGTACGTGTGAGGATCTGATCCTAGTTTCAGGAAAGGTTGAGGCAGTGTGGAGGATGGCCTGCTGAACAGAACAAAGGAGGCTGTGGCTGGTCATGACCTTTAAAGGAGAGAACTACCCCAAAGGAAGCAGAAAGGGACTTAAGAGGGGTCCCAAAGGACCCTCACAACTTCTGCACCAGAAGGGCACAAAAGGCAGAGGAGCCTAAGTATGGCACTGGGACAGAGGACACAGTGGATTAGGAGAGGAGCTGGCATGGTGGCAGAGCCAATCTGACTTTACACATACACACAGCAGGGGCGAAGAAAGGGGATTTTTATAGCCTGTTATTATGGAAGATGGGTCTGAAGTTTAGGAAAAGGTAAAGACCCCAAATTCAAAGTGACAGTTATAGTTGCTAGGGCATGAATGAAATCACTGGATCAGGTAATACCCTCAAGAGGAGAAATGTTTGGTGATAGAATTTGAACACTTGGAGAGGAAGAGAGATGGTACAGGGGACTGGAAAGGTGCTGCTGGGAGCATGCCAGAGGGAAGAAGAGAGAATTGGTCAGCACTGCTACGCTAGCTGGCGGTTTCCTAGCGTCCACCCCGTTGCTGTTTGGGACCAGGTAATTCTCTTTGGTGGAGGCTATTATAGGCACTGTAGATGGTTAGTGGCACCCCTAGCCTCTACCCACTAGATGCCAGTAGCATCCCCTTAGCTGTAGCAACCGAAACTGTTTCTAGACTTTGCCAAATGTCCTCTGGGGGGCAAAATTGACCCCAGTTGAAACCACTGCTGTAAGCTGAGAAAGGACCCTTAGATTTGAGTAGGAATCATCTTGAGTTAAGGGTAAATCAGGACTGGGAAGAGAAAAATTCAGTATTTAACTCTGGTGTTCCCCTTTCTGTCTACTCTTGCTTATTTTTCTGTAGTGCCTGGCCACCAGGACCTGAGAACTACAAATCACTTGGGTGAGTGGCCTTCAGAGTTGAAACTCCAGCACAGATGAGCAGTGACACTTGAGAGATCAGAAGTGTGACCTGATGTTTGTTTTGAGGAGCTAACCTGAAAGGCAGTGGGGTGGCCTAGCTCCAGGGACCAAGCAGCCTGGCATGGTAAGAGCTTGGGGGATCAGCTGTGGGTTGACTGGGGGCCACCCGGATTGTGGGACTGTCTGGCAAGCCCATGCAGGGCTGGCAATTTTGCTGGCTCAAGACAGAGTGTGGAAATGGCCAGTGGTATGAGGTGGTGGACAGCCTAGTCTGGGCCTCACCCTACCAGGGGCACAGTTTTCAGGGTCTGCCATTATACTTGTAGAGTAGCAAAGTACCTTAAGCATGAATTTCCAGTTCTGGATGGATTTCTGTCAGGGAAAGAGGTATAGATTTGATCGGAAAAGCAGGAATGAGGAAGGAAAGTCAACTAATGGGTTCAGGTAGATTACGAAGAGGAAGGTGAGATGGGCTGGTGAGTTGCCTGAAAGACAGCTGAGCTGGGCGAAGGGCAGAAGCTGTGTGCCGGGGTCAGGACCCTGTTCACTCGGGGAGTATGTGAGAGTGAGGAGGAAAGGACTGGCTCTCAAAATCCAGGTGAAGCTGTCTTGAAAATTGTGTTTACTTAGCTACTTAAACAGAATAGGTTTTCTACACTTGATGAATTTAGAAAGTAATGGGGAAAGCTACTCA